GTGAGTGTGTGTGTGTGTGTGTGTGTTTCAGGTTGTTCGTCTCAACTTCAGCAGCTTCCTAATCTCCTCTGTGTGTGTGTGTGTGTGTTTTCAGGGTAAAGCCATCGGCATCACTATCGGATGCATTCTGGGAATGTTTCCGTTGCTCTTCTTAAGCGATGATGATGATGAGAAGAAGAAGAATCATCCAAACTCAAAATGACAGGCTTTCCATCTGCACGACAACAACGACATTTATATTGGCAAAGTGAAGAAATCAAGCAAAAGAACAAAAGTGCACGCGGTAAACATCATCATCATCATCATCATCAGAGTAATGGAAAAAATCATTAAACCACAGTAGCTAGTTAATCTAGAGAGACGTTATAACGAGCATGAGTTGAGTTTCTCTCTCTTTAGAACTAACACTATTTTAAAGGTCCGTTCACAGCAGGAACGATAACTCTAACGATAGTTTCATTAGTTTTAATAATCACTCCACACTACAATCATAACGATAGCAACACAGAGGAACGATAGGAATCGGCTTCAATGATTTTTTTCAATTAGAATCAAGTCACGTGTATTTCTACAGCACTTTATACAGTACAGACCGATTCAAAGCAGCTTCCCAGAAATAACCGGAAACGTCATCAGTTATGATCATAGTGTCAGTGCTGTTTAATCTATCATATTACTGAAGATTAATAGTCTTTTAATCCTGAATACTGTTGTAGTTATTGTTCTCGGTGTGAACGGGCCTCTCTTTACCTTTCTGTTGTTTGTTTTCACTAATATTTTCTCTGGTTTAGATTTTAGCAGCATGTTTTTCTGCGGAAACGTTTGGTGAAGAATGAAGTGTGTTTTAGTTTAGTTTGACGTGATTAACTCGCATCTGCCAAACGTGGGTCAAACTAGAACCATTTGCATTATATCTTTGCAACATCATGAAACTAAACATATCACACATCAATATGATTTCAACTGGAATTAGCTTTATTCTGAACAGAACAAGCTTTTTTACTCTCACACATGATGTTATGTGACGTTCTGCGTTCCCATCATGCATCTGAGACGTGAAGTAAACCTCTTGAGCCGCTGGGATGAACCTGGAGCTCTCACGGGTTTCCTCAACGAAACACTGTGTTTTAATCAGTCCAGACGCGTTTTTAATTTACTTGCATTACGTTTTCACAAATTTAAGGCCTAAAATGTTTTTAAATTTGAGCATAAAGTCTTAAATCCATGACATTAAATGTTGCATGCATCGCAAAAAGCAGATTTATAGCTGTTATAAATTCACTGTAAACCACGGCTTCACGGGGATTATTGCTTTTATAAAACGGTTATTCCATATACGTAGTAAGGTTTCACAAAATAAAACAGAGCAAATAAAGTGTAATGATATTAATAAAAACAGTATTCTTCCACCAAACAATGTAGCTCCTCAGAAACAGTTGTGGTTGCTACAAAGTGGTTGCCGAGCAACACACAAACGTAAACAAAGGTGTATGTTACTTTGTAGAGTCATTTACAACAGCTTCGAACGCGGCTCAGCCAATCAGAATCAAGCACCGGAACTCTCCGCTTTATAAACATCCTTAACTCGTGCTACATTTACTGGAGGAGCACAATAAACACAGTGAGTCCTGTTTTCCTAGAAATTGAACAAAATGAAGTGACTTTATGAATAAAACAAGAACAAATCTTCTTTTCTTGCAGTGTGATCAGAAGGGTCAGAGTTATTTAGTTGCACTATTTGTTTGTTAAATGAATTAAAAAGTAATGGAGATCTGTTGGAAGTTGTATTTTCAAACTTTGAAGTGTTGCTAATACAAGACATTTACATTTAGAGGCTATATTGATGCATTGAGTACCCTTCAATTTGTTCCTTAAATGTTCTTTACTTCATCTGATTTATCTACATAACATCTGAAACCCTGCATCTGCTAATGTGCATCACTCAGATATGATTAAATACATATTTTTACTTTTATTTAAATCGTGCCAAGTTATAATGACTGTGTGTGACTGAATGATGGACAGGGTCGTATATGAATGTGCCTGAGTTTGTATTCATGTCAAAAAATAAATAAATAAAAGCATAAAAATTAATTACTTGAAATAAAATAAACATTAACTCAAACTAAAATTTAACAAAAAAAATATACTTAAAAAAAAATGTACTAAAACGACTAAAACGCACAACAATTCTTTAACTGAAATAAAATTTTAAAAAATATTTTTAAATAAACTTTAACTGAAATCAAAATGAAAGCATAAATTAATTACTTGGAATAAAATAAACATTAACTTAAACACAAAAAATTTATAAACTTTTTTTTTTTAATTTATAAAACGACTTAAACGCACAACACTTTAACTGAAATAAACATTTTAAAAATAATTATTTCAGCTATTTCAACATTTGGTTTAAATTAAAGTGCTTTAATAATTATGCTAAATAATTAAAACTAAATAAAAACAAATAATAAAAAAAAGATAAAAATTCTAAAACTTTAACTGAAATTAAAATGAAAACAGAAAAATTAATTACTTGAAATAAAATAAACATTAACTCAAACTAAAATTTAACAAAAAAAATATACTTAAAAAAAAATGTACTAAAACGACTAAAACGCACAACAATTCTTTAACTGAAATAAAATTTTAAAAAATATTTTTAAATAAACTTTAACTGAAATCAAAATGAAAGCATAAATTAATTACTTGGAATAAAATAAACATTAACTTAAACACAAAAAATTTATAAACTTTTTTTTTTTAATTTATAAAACGACTTAAACGCACAACACTTTAACTGAAATAAACATTTTAAAAATAATTATTTCAGCTATTTCAACATTTGGTTTAAATTAAAGTGCTTTAATAATTATGCTAAATAATTAAAACTAAATATAAAAAAATTCTAAAACTTTAATTGAAATTAAAATGAAAACAGAAAATATAAAAATGAAACCCAATTCAAAAATATTAACAAAAACTATAAGTATAAATAACCCTGACTGACCCATGATTCCTCCGGGTTCAGACGCGGAACGCCTCGATCTCGACTCGTGTTTGATCTGAAACACCTCTGCACTGATGTTTAGTAGTTTACTGATCAAATGATTTCTGGGTAACATATCAAGAATTTGCCCGAAACGTGTGTTACTACATTTAGTGTATGCTTATTATTGGACACTATGCATTCTAATAAATATTCATGTATATGTAAGTATTGCACAGCTGTCTCTGGGTAGTGGACATGCAGTCTATTTTACAGATTCTACGATTATTTTTGTGAGACTACATGGAAGATTTGTACTTTTATAACTTCGTTTGTCACTCCGCAGAACTATTGAAGTGAACCGTACAAGTTCAAGCACACGGAGTATAAGTTTTGCTCAAAGATGTTGATCAATGTTATTCTTAGCTAATATTAACAGAAGCAACTTTTGAGGCTAATAATGTATTGGTAGATGTTGAAATTAACATTATGTAGCTGACTTGAACAGTAAAAACAAACAGCAACAAATGTATCACTCATTGTTAGTTAATTCTAGTTAATGCATTAACTAATTGGACCTTATTGTGTAAAGTGTTACCAAGTTATAAATGAAATAAACATCCCCTGAAGTTTTCACACTGCAACTGATTTTAATAAAATGCTTTTATTGACAATATAAAAATCACACTGCATTATTATTATTATTATGTACAGTCTAGTTGTGTTCAGTGTCTAACACACAGTTCAGTCTGACTTTAACGGGTGAGTTAAGGAGGGTTAACCAGCGTCTAATAAACACATTAAACGGCTAAACACCTCTGGAATCCACAGATTCACAGTGCTTCTAGAATATATTCAGATCTGCTACATATGTGGAAGTTTAGTAGATGAACAAACACTGATCTCATGGAAACATCCGTCTAGACTCTTAAAAATAAAGGTTCTTTGTTGGCGCCAAAGGCTCCATGAAGAACCGTCAGCATCCATGGAAACACTAAAGGTTCTTTAGGCTTTTACAATCTTCAAATAAATGAGATTCTTATAAGAACTGACCATTGGAAAGTTCTTTGGGGCAATGGTTCTTCAATGGCAATCCCATTTTGAAAACTTTATTTTTAGGTATTAAAAGTGGAAAAGGGTATTTAGATTATTCAAATGTTCTTCGCACTAAGAAGAAATGGTTCACTGACAGGTTCTTTGGGGAACCAAAAATGGTTCTTTGATTGGAATTCAATGCAAACATTTTTTTTGCTCATCTTGTAATCAATTAGTAGACCGTGAACTCCAATAATTTCCTCTCTGTTCTCAACAAATGTCTGGCTACACTCTTAAAAATAAAGGTTCTTTATTGGCGCCAATGGTTCCATTAAGAACCTTCAACATCCATGGAACCACTAAACCATAGAACTTTATAGTGGAAAACAGTTCTTTAGATTATTCAATTGTGACCCTGCAGCACAAAAGCAGTCTTAAGTCTCTGGGGTATATATGTAGCAATAGCCAATAATACATTGTATGGGTCAAAATTATACATTTTTCTTTTATGCCAAAAATCATTAGGATATTAAGTAAAGATCATGTTCCATGAAGATATTTTGTAAATTTCCTACCATAAATATATCAAAACTTAATTTTTGATTAGTAATATGCATTGCTAAGAACTTCATTTGGACAACTTTAAAGATGATTTTCTCAATATTTAGATTTTTTTGCACCCTCAGATTCCAGATTTTCAAATAGTTGTATCTCAGCATAAATATTGTCCTATCCTAACAAACCATACATCAATGGAGAGCGTATTTATTCATCTTTCAGATGATGCATAACTCTCAATTTAAAAAAATGGACCCTTATGACTGGTTTTGTGGTCCAGGGTCACAAATGTTCTTCACACTAAAACAAAATGGTTCTTTTAATAACCTGATCACTGACAGGCTCTTTCAGAAACTCTCTTTTGGAAACTTTACTTTTAAGAGTGTGTGCACGCTTAAAAATAAAAGTTCTTTATTGGCATTGATGGTTCCATAAAGAACCTTTAACATCCATGGAACCTTCCAGTTGCACAAATGGTTCTTCGCACTAAGAAAAAAAGAACTATTGACTGAAAGGAATGCCATTCCTTTGGCATTCAACGCAAAAACCTCTTTCGGAACTTTTACTTTTAAGAGTGTATTTCCTCGTCCTGTAATGAATAATCATCCTGTTCCACCTTCACTTGTCCAGGTGCATCTGCGTCGTCATTTTGGCGGCCAGACGTCGTCGTCGTTGTCGTTCCCTGGCAGCGAGCCTGATGCTTGAGGAAACTGTCTCTCCAGACGATCTTCTTGCCGCAGAGCGCGCACTCGTACGGACGCAGGCCTCCGTGCGTCTTGACATGTTTGGTCAGGTGGTGCTTCATCTTGAAGCTCTTGGAGCAGACGGGGCAGGCGAACGGACGCAGGTTCAGGTGCTGCATTTTCACGTGGCGGTCGCGCATGCTCTTCAGCGTGTACGCTTTGCCGCAGTGACAGAAGTGGACTTTGGGCGTCGCAGAGAGAGGAGAGCGCGGGGAGGACGAGGACGACTGCGAGACCCAGGAGAGCTCGGACGGTCCCGGCGCCAACTGGTCGGACGGTCCCGGCGGTGGCAAAGGACGCTGGGAGATCTGCCCCGTGGCCTTCTCGATCTCGTCGTAGGTCTCGAACGCGACGTCCGTTTCGTCCTCCTCGTCTTCGTCGTCCAGGAGCTTGGCGTCTGACAAAGTCCACTGGTTCCACAGTCCGTCCGTCTCGCCGCTCTCGCTCTCTCTGAAACGTCCGTCCGACTCGGCGGCTCCTGAGTGGAGACAAGAGCAGACAAGAAGTCAAAAATACGTCGGTTCTCCACGTTGCCCCCTGGTGGACGGGCGCTAAACTGCAGTGATGAAGAAGCTCCACTCACCAGCCTGGTGCTCCTCACACTTCACCCTCACTTTGTCCTCATCCAGCGGCTCTCCGACTCCTTCATCCGCTTCCATCCTCCGCTGCTCCTCGTCTTCCTTCGCTCCTCGAAGGCGAGCGAGGATTCGGTGCCTCGCGAAGTCCGATGTTTCGATGGACGGCAAAGGCGCGACTGGGAACGCGTGGAAACCTTCGTCTCCCGTATTCGGGCCGCATTCGGGCTCCGTTCGGACGGGGAACGTCAGGCTGCTTCTGCTCCACCTGCTCTGAGTCGGACGCCTCCATGTGGCCAGAGGCGGTAGCGCGCTTTGCGGTCGTTTTTCCAGAGTTCGTTCGCCCGCT